GTCATGAACCACTTTTACAACACATGATCGGTATTGATTGTGATGTATGTATGCTCTAAATTTCAATACTGCTTAAACAGCAGCGTAGAACTCTTTTTTAGTGGTTTTATATTGTCTGGTTAAGTTTGTTTGACATAAAAGCAATTGGAACTTCGTCTGCATCAATACCGCTCCAACGCTTGTATGAATGGCGTCACAGTGTATTAAGAATGACAAAGCAAAATTTGGGCTATGTAACGCCCTTTAAAGAGTCGTAAATCCTAATAAACTTTTGGTACCAAAGCTACAAACCTGTTTTACTGATCAACGTATCGGAAAATCTTTTTGGACGTGATCAATACTAATTGTTCCATTTCCAATCACATATCCTAGATATTCTCGACGGCTAAACTCGTGTTTTTCGTCGTTGTTAGTGAGATTGCCGGTAGCTAATTGTGCACTGACTATTGATAGGATTTTGAAATGGTGTTCAAATAAGACGAATATAATCAATAAATGTGATGTATTCAGCTTTCGGTAATCTACTGAGAATACCAAAGCATAACTAAGACGATGGGAGACGACCATGAGCTATTTGGCTCTTGAATCACTCCCAGGGCAATCATTCGATCCAGCTCATCATACCTTTTCTATCGCAGCAGACACGGCAAAGTGTCGCTGTTTGATAGCCTTAGCATCGGCTTCAACGATAATATGGAAATTTAATGAAGTTCAACCTAGTCCTTGTTTAGAAAAGGAAGGGAATAAATTAACCGTATCTGTTAAGTTAACGAGCTTTTTCATTAGCTGTTGTAGAATTAAGAAAAAAACCAAAGACGTTTGAAATTTAGCAAATCGTATAATATGATATTGGGGACTCCAAACTGGAGCGCAATATTATAAATTTGGACTGACAAGGGAAGTAAATATTAATTTAGTTGTATAAGGGTCTTCAAATTCAGTAGACCATCGCTTAATAAACATAAGAATACTCATAGCCTTGTTAACAGTAGACTTTATGTGACAGTCGAATTTTAACTTTCAAGAAGAACTCAAAGTCGTTGACCGAATACATTCATTCCAGTGGCATATTATAAAGGGAATAGCTTATAAATGAAGGGGTACTCTTATAACAATTTACGTTACATTTAAGGCAATTCAGCTTTAAGAGGTTAGATTGCCACCATCTCTGAAAAGAATCCATATCAGAATATAAACCGAACCCGCTTGCAAATTATTATATTAATACTCGAATATGTGTTATGACAGAAAGAAGGAAATTGATGAAAAAAGTAAATAGCTATGGGCCCAAATGAAACTAGACACTCCAGATGTTTCTGGCAACTACGCTTTTAAAAATAACCCTCTGAGTTCTGTAACGACCTGATTTCTTATGTATTCTCGCTAGCTACGTTAACGGGCGGCTAGCTTAGAGAGGTTATGGGTTCGTTCCACCAAATTTATATTGGGTGATTGCCTTCGGCCAAAGAATAACGCAAGAGTTCTGTTGGGATCGTAAGACTCCACGCAAGGACTCCCTGAGCTCCATTTAACCACGACCTAGCACCCGTTGGATCTCAGTGTTGAAGCCTCAGCCTTGTAGACTCTTAGTCGTTCGGCGTCTCGACTTTGCGATCTTGATCCTGGTACTCGACACTTGATTAACTTGCTACTGGTCTCGCGTACATGCACTCGCTCTGATTCTCGCACTTCGGGGGTGGCGCCGTGTCCCGCGACGTCTCCGGCGGTGATGACCACTCCCACGGCCCCTTCTCCAGAACCTCCTTGGCCTCGCGCTCGTCCTCGGGCGTCGGCTTCAGCTCCTCGCGATCGGCCGTCTCCGCAACGCGTTTCGCCGACTTGGCTTTTGGCTCGCGCGGGTGCATCGGCGGTGGGCGCTGCCAATCGATGGCCTCGGTAGCCTCCCGCATTCGGGCCTCCTCCGCTGCCTCGTCGGGCGCGGGCCACGTCCACGTGACCGTCTGCTGATGCCACCGCCGGCCCTCCACCATGATGGTTCGTAGCGCTTGCGCGACCTGCGCCTGTGGCAGGTGCCACTCCTGCTGCCTCGGCGGCGGCGAGGGTGGTGGTGATGGAGAGCGTGGTAGCGGCGGCTGCATCTGCTCCTCCGGCGACTGCAGCTGCTCCTGCGGCGGCTGTGGCTGCACCTGCGGCGGCTGCTCCTGTGGCAACTGCTCCTGTGGCGCCTGCTCCTGTGGCGGCTACTCCTGTGGCGGCTGCTCCTGCGGCGGCTCCCAGAGTGCGGCCTCCTCTGCCTCGGTGTCTCTCAGCCTCTGCTGCCACGCGGCGACTACTGCCCTCCTCCCCACCCGCCGGGCCTCCCATTGGCGGACAGTGACCGCCCTCGCTTCCAGGATGCGGGCCCACTCCTTGGGCTTGCCCGACGGTGGTATCAGCCCTAGACAGATCCTCCCGAGCCCTGCCGTCGCTCTGTTCAACCGGTGGAAGATCATCCGATCCCTCGCAGCTCGCCGCGCCGCTTTGTCCTCGTCCGAGGACACCTCGGGACTGACGGTCTCCGTCCCCTCCTCCTCCTCACTGGCGTCCTCCGGTACACTCTCATTGGAGGAGATGGCGACAACCTCTGCGATCTCCGTCGCGTTTGTGCCTGCGTCCTCCTCCTCGGACGGCAACTCTATGTCCGAGATTTCGCCCGTGGACTCCGCGTCAATCTCGCTGACTGGTGACAGGCATCGCGACACCAGGCCGGACGCCAGAAGCTGGAGGACGGAATCGGAGTCCCGACTGGCTGTTACACGGGCTTTCCGCTCTGTGCCCGTGTAATGTTTCAAAGTAACGGTGCCCTCCGTGTACACGCCTCTTACGCAACCCGTGCATGTGTGCGTTTAGCCGGTAACGGTGCCTACGGCTTTTTAACTCTCCCTGTCCCGCTCTCGCGCTCCTGAGTGTGTGCCTGTGTATGTGTGCTTGACCGTTAATTTCGATACCGTGTATCGTGCTCCCCCTTTCTTCGTTTAGGGTAGAGTGCTCCTCCGATACGCCGGATTTGTTGAGACTGTCCCTCTTTGCTTTGCGGTTTTAACTGGCCTATGTGTGTTTTTCTTTCTTTGCCCGTGTGTTCGTGCCCCAGGTTGCAAATAACCGGAGAGTCGAAATTAATTATTTTAAACGGTCCCTCGTATCTGGGGGCCAGTTTCGCCGCGAATCCTTCTGCCACCTTGGATAGATGGTGCTCCTTGGCCCATACCGTGTCTCCGATCTGTGGTTTCCAAGGGCGCCTCCGGAGATTGTAGTGGCCGCCTTCTCCATGTTCCGTCTGACCAGCTCGAAGTTTTCGTTTATTTTTTCGCATTTTCCGACGGGGTCTGGGTTTCCCTTCCTGTGCCGGTGGTTTCTTCATCAAATAACGCGCTCGGTAACCTGGGCGCTCTACCCTGCGTGACGAATGCCGGTGAATACCTTGTGGACTCGGCTACACTAGTGTTCACGGCCAGCTACAATTCTGGCCATTTCTCGTCCCACGTTCTCTGGTCTTGTCCGGCGAACTGGGCGATCATTGTTTTTACCGTTCTATTGGCCCCCTCCGTGCGATTTTCTTGTGGCGTGTACGGGGCTGTGAACTGGTGCCGCTTGAACGCCCTGCTCGTGAATTGCATCCCGTTATCGGTGATCAAGACCTTCGGCACGCTGTACCTTGAGACAATCCTTTCCCGGATTGCCTTTTCCAGCGTGCCTGTGGTAGCCCTACGCATTGGCACTATTTCCGTCCACTTCGAGAACCGATCTACGAGCACTAGTAGCATCGAGTTCCCGAGTTTCGACCGAGGAAGCGGCCCAACGAAATCGGCGCATACTGTGGCCCAGGGCTCCTCAGGGATTTGTGTGAGCATTTTGCCGGCTGCCTGGAGCTGACTGGGCTTGTACCTGAGGCAGCTCTCACAGTTCCGCACGTGCTTCCTAATGTCGCGGTGCATGCCCGACCAATAATACCTCTCTGCCACCCTCGCGATCGTCTTCCGGCTGCCCATGTGTCCGGCCGTCGGCATATCGTGGTTCTCGGCCATGACTCGCTGCCTTGACCCGATTGGTACGCATAGCTTCAATGCAACCACATCCTCGTTACCCGCTCTGTGAGGAATGTGCCGGTACAGCCGGTCGGCCTCCACTAAATAGTCCGGATATTTTTGGGGGATCTGTGCTATTTTGCCCCTTATGTCCCTTATCCAGCTACATTCGGCTTGTTTTGCTGGCTGACCAGGTGGCTTCGTTTTCAACCTTCGGCAGGTTTCAGGTAAGGGCTGCCGCGACAGTGTGTCCGCTACAATATACAGCTGGCCTTTCCTGTATGTGATTTCGAAGTCGTATTGCTGGAGCTCCAGTGCTCATCGCGCGATTCTTCCGGTCGGGCTCTCGATGCTATTCAGCCACTTCAGGGCCATGTGACCTGTTATCACTTTGAAGTGGTATCCCTCCAGGTATGGCTTTAATTTCCTTATGGCCCACACGATTGCTAAACATTCCTTTTCAGTGGCCGAGTAATTCTTTTCCGACCCGTTTAGGGTCCGGCTGGAATATGAGATCACCCGCTCACCCTGGTCGGAATTTTGAGTGAGAGTGGCACCCAGCCCATAATCGCTGGCATCGGTCTGCACCACAAACGGCTTTGTAAAATCCGGGCGACCAGCCTTGCCTTGACAGCTTCAAAGACCTGCTGGTGGTCGTCGGTCCATTTCCATTTGACACCCTTTCGGAGAAGGGCGTTCAGCGGATGCACTAGCGTGGCAAAATCTGGCACAAAACGCCCGTACCACGACGCCACTCCCAAATACTGCCGCAGTTCTTTGGCAGTTGCCGGTGGTTTTAGCAATGCGACATCATTTCGGTTCCAATTACCTGGTCCAACGCCTGCTGGAATGTTGCTGATGCCGAGTGTAAACCAAAAGGCATAACTTTCCATTGAAAAAGGCCTTTCCCTGGCACTGTGAATGCGGTGTACTGCCTGCTAGATGCCTCCAACGGTATCTGCCAGTACCCGTCCTTTAAGTCGAGGCTGCTGCAGCGGCGGCTGCATCTGCTCCTCCGGCGACTGCAGCTGGTCCTGCGGCGGCTGTGGCTGCACCTGCGGCGGCTGCTCCTGCGACGGCTGCTCCTGTGGCGCCTGCTCCTGTGGCGGCTACTCCTGTGGCGGCTGCTCCTGCGGCGGCTCCCAGAGTGCGGCCTCCTCTGCCTCGCCGTCTCTCAGCCTCTGCTGCCACGCGGCGACTACTGCCCTCCTCCCCACCCGCCGGGCCTCCCATTGGCGGACAGTGACCGCCCTCGCTTCCAGGATGCGGGCCCACTCCTTGGGCTTGCCCGACGGTGGTATCAGCCCTAGACAGATCCTCCCGAGCCCTGCCGTCGCCCTGCTCAACCGGCGGAAGATCATCCGATCCCTCGCAGCTCGCCGCGCCGCTTTGTCCTCGTCCGAGGACACCTCGGGACTGACGGTCTCCGTCCCCACCTCCTCCTCACTGGCGTCCTCCGGTACACTCTCATTGGAGGAGATGGCGACGACCTCTGCGATCTCCGTCGCGTTTGTGCCTGCGTCCTCCTCCTCGGACGGAAACTCTATGTCCGAGATTTCGCCCGTGGACTCCTTGTCAATCTCGCTGACTGGTGACAGGGATCGCGACACCAGGGGGGACGCCAGAAGCTGGAGGACGGAATCGGAGTCCCGACTGGCTGTTACACGGGCTTTCCGCTCTGTGCCCGTGTAATGTTTCAAAGTAACGGTGCCCTCCGTGTACACGCCTCCTACGCAACCCGTGCATGTGTGCGTTTAGCCGGTAACGGTGCCTACGGCTTTTTAACTCTCCCTGTCCCGCTCTCGCGCTCCTGAGTGTGTGCCTGTGTATGTGTGCTTGACCGTTAATTTCGATACCGTGTATCGTGCTCCCCCTTTCTTCGTTTAGGGTAGAGTGCTCCTCCGATACGCCGGATTTGTTGAGACTGTCCCTCTTTGCTTTGCGGTTTTAACTGGCCTATGTGTGTTTTTCTTTCTTTGCCCGTGTGTTCGTGCCCCAGGTTGCAAATAACCGGAGAGTCGAAATTAATTATTTTAAACGGTCCCTCGTATCTGGGGTCCAGTTTCGCCGCGAATCCTTCTGCCACCTTGGATAGATGGTGCTCCTTGGCCCATACCGTGTCTCCGATCTGTGGTTTCCAAGGGCGCCTCCGGAGATTGTAGTGGCCGCCTTCTCCATGTTCCGTCTGACCAGCTCGAAGTTTTCGTTTATTTTTTCGCATTTTCCGACGGGGTCTGGGTTTCCCTTCCTGTGCCGGTGGTTTCTTCATCAAATAACGCGCTCGGTAACCTGGGCGCTTTACCCTGCGTGACGAATGCCGGTGAATACCTTGTGGACTCGGCTACACTAGTGTTCACGGCCAGCTACAATTCTGGCCATTTCTCGTCCCACGTTCTCTGGTCTTGTCCGGCGAACTGGGCGATCATTGTTTTTACCGTTCTATTGGCTCCCTCCGTGGGATTTTCTTGTGGCGTGTACGGGGCTGTGAACTGGTGCCGCTTGAACGCCCTGCTCGTGAATTGCATCCCGTTATCGGTGATCAAGACCTTCGGCACGCCGTACCTTGAGACAATCCTTTCCCGGATTGCCTTTTCCAGCGTGCCTGTGGTAGCCCTACGCATTGGCACTATTTCCGTCCACTTCGAGAACCGATCTACGAGCACTAGTAGCATCGAGTTCCCGAGTTTCGACCGAGGAAGCGGCCCAACGAAATCGGCGCATACTGTGGCCCAGGGCTCCTCAGGGATTTGTGTGAGCATTTTGCCGGCTGCCTGGAGCTGACTGGGCTTGTACCTGAGGCAGCTCTCACAGTTCCGCACGTGCTTCCTAATGTCGCGGTGCATGCCCGACCAATAATACCTCCCTGCCACCCTCGCGATCGTCTTCCGGCTGCCCATGTGTCCGGCCGTCGGCATATCGTGGTTCTCGGCCATGACTCGCTGCCTTGACCCGATTGGTACGCATAGCTTCAATGCAACCACATCCTCGTTGCCCGCTCTGTGAGGAATGTACCGGTACAGCCGGTCGGCCTCCACTAAATAGTCCGGATATTTTTGGGGGATCTGTGCTATTTTGCCCCTTATGTCCCTTATCCAGCTACATTCGGCTTGTTTTGCTGGCTGACCAGGTGGCTTCGTTTTCAACCTTCGGCAGGTTTCAGGTAAGGGCTGCCGCGACAGTGTGTCCGCTACAATATACAGCTGGCCTTTCCTGTATGTGATTTCGAAGTCGTATTGCTGGAGCTCCAGTGCTCACCGCGCGATTCTTCCGGTCGGGCTCTCGATGCTATTCAGCCACTTCAGGGCCATGTGACCTGTTATCACTTTGAAGTGGTATCCCTCCAGGTATGGCTTTAATTTCCTTATGGCCCACACGATTGCTAAACATTCCTTTTCAGTGGCCGAGTAAATCTTTTCCGACCCGTTTAGGGTCCGGCTGGAATATGAGATCACCCGCTCACCCTGGTCGGAATTTTGAGTGAGAGTGGCACCCAGCCCATAATCGCTGGCATCGGTCTGCACCACAAACGGCTTTGTAAAATCCGGGCGACCAGCCTTGCCTTGACAGCTTCAAAGACCTGCTGGTGGTCGTCGGTCCATTTCCATTTGACACCCTTTCGGAGAAGGGCGTTCAGCGGATGCACTAGCGTGGCAAAATCTGGCACAAAACGCCCGTACCACGACGCCACTCCCAAATACTGCCGCAGTTCTTTGGCAGTTGCCGGTGGTTTTAGCAATGCGACATCATTTCGGTTCCAATTACCTGGTCCAACGCCTGCTGGAATGTTGCTGATGCCGAGTGTAAACCAAAAGGCATAACTTTCCATTGAAAAAGGCCTTTCCCTGGCACTGTGAATGCGGTGTACCGCCTGCTAGCTGCCTCCAGGCCAAAAAAATTTATTATTATCTGCCAGTACCCGTTCTTTAAGTCGAGGCTGCTAATATATTTAGCTTCTCGGAGTTGGTCCAGGATGTAGTTGATCATCGGCATTGGATATGCTTCCTTCACGGACTTTGCGTTGATCTGCCTGAAATCCACATAGAGCCTCCATTTCCCGGTCTTCTTCCTCACCATAACTATTGGTGAGCTGTACGGACTCCTTGACGGTTCGATGCAGCCCTTTTCAAGTAGCTCGTCTACTTTGGCGTTGATCTCGCCCTACATTTTTGGTTTCTTCGGAGAGTACCGCTGTTTGACCGGCTGATCGCCTTGCAGATTGTCCAGGCTCTCCAACTCTGTCTTTCAAAACTGGTCCACATCCATTTCCTTCGCGGCTTCGCGTCACCTGCTCCCAGAACTCCAGTGGCTTATCGTTGCCGTAATACCGAAAGTTCCACTCCCGGACTTGCTTGGCCACCTTGGCGTATTCCTGCGGATGTGGCCGTACGCTTTCTTTTCTCTCGCGGTTGCTTTCTCGCTGCCTGCCGTCGCTTGCCATGCTCTGAATATCCAGGCTTGCTATAAGGCCTTCGGCATCTGCGGTTGTTAGTTTAAATTTCGGGACCGGCAGCTTCCGGAATTTCACTTCCAGACCTGCCACTAACTCTGCCACGACCGGGTCTTCTGCTATGCGGTCCACCGTCTCTGCCAGGGTCTTCCTCATCGCCTCTTCCGAGCCCTCGAGTTCTATTCCCAGAACATTGCTTACCTCGGCGAAGTCCTCCTTCCTGACATCCTATATAACTTAATATTAAGTCCCCTTACGTTTTGATAGGCTGGAAATATAGAAGTGTTCAGTTTTTTTTTTCAGACTCTTAAATCGGAGACCGATTATTATTTCATTGTTTGTAAGGAACAAATTCTTTAGTATAAGTTCATCATCAGGCCAAAAAACTTTATTATTTAGAACGTTCTGGAGGAACAGATATTTTAAAAGAGGATAACTTGCGAACATATGAAAAAATTGTTCAACAGTAATGTATGGAGATTGGTATTTTTCTTGAATAAACTCCTTAACATCATCAGATGTGTTTTCGGGTAAATCGAGAAACAAATAATTGTTTCCTATGCGGAATAACAGAAAGTTTATTTATACCACAGCTTTCTGTAAAACTGCCTGTAAAAATTTTGATTCAAGGCCTGCTCTAGAAACTCTCCAGTGACAGGGGCTAATGATCTAAGTGCAGGTAAAGACTTAAACGTATTTAAAATTGGGATTGGTGCAGATTCGTTTTCTGAAACAGAATTTAAAGCAGCTCCTTTTTAAAGGGTTCGGGTTTTAGGTTACTCACTTCGCATTTTTTTTTTTTATATTGTTCACGTGTCGCGTTGAACCCTTCAGTGAGTTGTTTTAATACTCCAAAAAGATTCTTAAAACCGGCACGAGTCTGCCTCATAGAGACACACATCTCGAGTTCCATATATTTCTGCAGAATATACATGACCACTTAAGCGAGGTCCGCAATTCAATGTTATTTCTAACTCTGCCAACAAATCCTTCACACTTTTCTTGCATGATTGTATCGCAGGGTCAGTGGAAGATAAATATATCTTTTGATTTAGATGGAATGTGGCAACCTTTCTTGGCACAGGTAATAGACATAATCATTAAATTATTGTTTACAGTAAGTAAAGAATCGATAATGTAATTTATTGCGCAAAAAATTAAATAATAAATTAGTTCCTCAGTCAATTTGAAACTGGGATCAAATGAAAGGACACAAATTATAAACACAAAAAGGCAAAAGTTAAAGAACTGCGTGTAAATCCAAAAGTGGGAGAGCGCGAGACAAAATCTTTTCTATCGTCTGAGCGTGGCTAGTGATACACTTACAACTATATACGTACACAGTTAGCGAGAAGTAGAGCGGGAGGAAAAGAGAGTACAATATTACAGATATTTTCTCGAGCAATGTTACAAAAACAAAAGACTAGGAGCACCTAAGCATGCCCAAAAGAATGAAATTACAATAACAATGTATAGTCAATGTATATAGCCATATAATCCTTGAATGACTCTCTGAAACCCTTTTTTTTCTTGACCTGATCTGCGAGCTTTGAGAAGAATCCCCTCGCAGGAAATAAGTTTGGAAACTTTCGTTGAGCTCTCCCCATGTCCTCCAGTGTATATTGTTTGTAATAAACCACTTTAGGGCCTTGCCTTGCAGCAATTCTGGCAAGGCTCGGGGAATGAGGTTCAGGTTCAAACCGTATGTGTTTGCTGACCATTCTACTTGTTCCAGAAACTTCAGCGGTTTCTCCGTGCCGTCAAACTTGAAAGACCATTTCCGGACTTGCTTTGAGACTTTGGCAAGTTAACACCCAAAATAATACAATTTCTCAGACAGAGGAAATGAGTAAGCATTGATTGCACAACAAACAGCAAAGCAATGCCCTCAATAAAGTTCTAACGAACTTAGCTTGCACCTTTTGATCAGCGATCGTGGGAATGCAGAATAGACAATTTCCAAAGTTGATCGAACTCAACCTAGTGCATACAACAAAAACTATAATTAAAATGCACTAGCCAATTACAATTAAGTTTGGCCAACGGCGACGGCGACCAAGAGCAGCAACCAATAATATGAAAGAACGTCAGCAGAAACATCAACAGCGGCAGAGACGGCGGCAGCGATGGAGCGACGCGTAGCTATAAAAACAATTGTTTAATCTAAGTAAGTTAGTTCTTAATCCAACTCAATAAAGGAAAGTTTGATTTTTTTATATAAAAATCATAACCAATCTTTTAACTGGCGCCCGAACAGGGACCTGATTAAAACCGCGAAAGGATAACAAGTTCCGCGTCTCGCGAAGTTCAGAAAGTAAAAAATTCTGACGTTTCGTTTCAAACCTCCGCCTAATCAGTGAGAAGTAAAAAACCAAAAATCCCGAGATTCGGAAGTGCAAAAGTGCCGTTTAAAAAAAAACGCCGCAAATTGTCACTCCTGAAAAAAACAGGACTTGTACCCGGTGGAATAATCAGGCCAAATTTTATCGCCGTGATCCCTTTAGTATCCGTTCGAAGGGAACGTGAATTAAGGTACAGAGAAGGCCCCTTAGTAAACTCACACTCAGGAGAGATCGTTGCAGAGTGAGATAAAACGGAATCTGCCGAGCCTGTCATCACGAGAGCACGCCGAGATATGTTACTACTGTAAGAATAGTTTTAAGCAATTTATTAACAAAAACATAAAAAATATTTAATCGAAAAATATTCAAAGAAGAAAAAGTTTTACCCAAATATAAAGTGTAGAAGACATATTTTAGTAAGTTAAAAAGAAAAAAATCCGAAATATAGGGAAAACAAAAATTTCCACATAATAATTACAAAGGTAATAAAAAATCGCACACCCTAATTCTTAGAAGACAACTTCCGAATTCTGAATAACTAAAATTAAAAAAATTAAATTAAACTTTTCGCTGCTCATATATCCATACCCAAAATGACCGAACAAGATTTGGCAGACAGACTCGCGAATCTTACCGGACCCTCATCAGCCAGTTCCACACAAATAAACACACGAATCATGACCGAGAGGGACATTGAGGAAAAAATAAAAACAATCTTAGAGACAAATCTCAGTAGACTAGTAAAGGAAATACTTAATCCAAATAAAGATTTTTCCAAATATACAGACCAAACAATTAAAAGAGAATTAACGCACAATCTTAGTGAGTTAGATAAATTACCAGACATTGTTCGGACACTTAGAGACTTTTCAGGAAACAAAAGTGAATATTCATCATGGAGGAAAAGTGTCGAGAGGGTGTTAAAAATCTATGAAAACAGAATTGGATCACCAAAATATTATGGAATTCTTTTAGCAATCCGTAACAAAATTACTGGTCAAGCGGACGCAGTATTAGAATCATATAATACCCCCTTAGATTGGACAGCTATTTCAAAATGCCTAACAGCGCATTTCGCCGACAAGCGCGACTTAAAGACCTTAGAATATCAACTATATGCTCTTAACCAAGGTAACAATACTATAGATGAATATTATCAGGCAGTCTATCAACAATTATCACTAATTCTGAACCAAATTGGCAGCTTAGATGCCTCACAAGAAACTATACAATCTCTGACAGCCATGTATAGGGAAAAAGCCTTAGACACTTTTGTCAGAGGACTTAATGGAAACCTGGCACAATTGCTGGCCATTAAAGAACCACAGGACTTAGGACACGCTCTACATTTATGCAGTCTGCTAGAGAATCAAAATGCTAGGAATAACCAGACACCAAAAACTCCGTATTTAGGGAGGGCACCCATGCTACCACCTAAACCTCAACAACCATATCGGATGGTAGCCGTCAAACAAAATTTCCATCCGCATCTCTACCATAACCCAAACCAATCCGGAAAACCCCTAATTACTCAAACTAACCAATTCAAATCTTATAGTCAACCTTATACAAACCAATCCGGTGTAGTAGCGTCCTATAACATACCAAAACCTCCGCCACGACCACAACCGAAACCGGTACCTATGGACGTAGATCAGTCAGTTCGATCACGTCATATAAATTATATGAACAAACCAGCAAATAATGATTATGCAGGGAAAAGACCTCTCAGCACCGCTAATGCCCCAAATAATAATAAGATACCAAGACAGTTCCATATTCAACCAGAGACAGGAAGTAACGCGCAGCAAAATTCAGATGAAACTTCATCAAGTTCAGAACAAGAGTATTATCAGTTGGCAGAAGAAAATAACGTTAACGAACTTCAGGAGGAATATGTATGGCAAAGCGATAACGAACAACAAGAATACATAGATATGTCAGAACTTTATTTTTTAGAATAAATCGTTCCTCACTACCTTACTTTAAAGTAACCACGGGGAACGGAAAAATTCTAAAATTCTTAATCGACACGGGCTCTAATCAAAATTATATTCAAAATCAATTAGTACCAAATCCAAAGCCAAATGAGAACACTTTTTCAGTTAGTTCAGTCGGTGGTAACAATAAAATAACACAACACGCAATACTTAAGCTCGCTAATATTTCGGATACACCCATGAAATTCTTTTTACTAGACACCCTGAAAACCTTTCATGGTATCTTGGGCAATGACACAATGAAAAGACTAGGAGCAATAATAGATGTAAAAAATGATATATTAATTCTCGGAAATAAACGCAAAATTAAAATTCATCAACTAGCGACACAAGCAGTAAATACAATTGGACCGCAAGTCAGCCATATGACCGAGTCACAAAAATCAATAATAAAACTCCTCGTACAAAGCCACAAAATCCTCTTCGCAGATCCCGATTCAAAGTTAGCATACACAACTAAAGTAGTAGGTGAGATCAGAACTTCATCAGATTCTCCAGTTTACGGAAAACATTACCCATACCCAATATCACTCAAACAAGAGGTAGAAAAACAAATAACTGAGATGCTAAGAGATGGTATTATAAGACCTTCAAGATCACCATATAATGCACCAGTCTGGGTAGTTCCGAAAAAGTCCGGCCAGTCCGA